AAATTTAAATTTAAAAATATAGTCCTTATTTTTTATCATTAAAACGATTTATTTTTGTTGTAAAATGAAGAATTAAATTTAAATTCATCATTTCTGCGTTCATTTGTACAATTGTCTCATTATTGTTAATTTGTTGGTAACAGTAATTTTTTATTTCCAACTGAGAACACTTTTCAATGCAAAAGTTTGCGATTTTGTTACTAAACGAGAAAAAGGTATACATTTTTCAAAGTTAATTGAGGAAACAAATTTAAATTTATGTATCATTTTTGAGTAATTTTTTTGGAATTTTGAGAAAAACATTGAGGAATTGATGGCCATTTTAGGTGAGTTGACAAAAAATCGTTTTTTTTTTATTCAGAAAAGCATGTGTTGTCGTGCTTTTTCATTTACCTGATTTATAGCTTTTCATATATCAGAAAAAAAAACCATTCGCAATTTTTTATGTTTCATATTTATTTTTTCATCAAACAAATTGAAATGTTATGCATGACAAGGTTTTTCATGCAAATTACAAACCAAATCGTACTTTTAATTAATAACAAAAAGAATGGGCGGAATTTGAGTTTTTAATTATTCTATAAACTGAAAATTTTCACAAAATTTAACAAAATAAAATAAAAAGTAAAAATTTGGAATTGCAAAATCACTTTTTTCCAGGTCAGTGAGGGAAACAAATTTAAATTTAAAAGTATAGTCCTTATTTTTATCATTAAAACGATTTATTTTTGTTGTAAAATGAAGAATTAAATTTAAATTCCTGATTTCTGCGTTCATTTGTACAAATTGTCTAATTATTGTTAATTTGTTGGTAACAGTAATTTTTTATTTCCAACTGAGAACACTTTTCAATGCAAAAGTTTGCTAAACGAGAAAAAGGTACACATTTTTCAAAGTCAATTGAGGAAACAAATTTAAATTTATGTATCATTTTTGAATAATTTTTTTGTAATTTTGAGAAAAAAATTGAGGAATTGATGGCCATTTTAGGTGAGTTTTTTTATTCAGAAAGGGATTTGTTGTCGTGCTTTTTCATTGACCTGATTCATATATCAGGAAAAAAGACCAATCGCAATTTTTTTATATATTTATTTTTTCATCAAACAAATTGAAATTTAATGCATGACAAAATTTTTCATGCAAATTACAAACCAAATCGTGCGTTTTAATTAATAACAAAAACAATGTGCGGAATTTGAGTTTTTAATTATTCTATAAACTGAAAATTTGCATTGTTTTTCACCAAATGTTTATTTAGTTTGTGCTATTATTATGATTAGTAAACATGTTTTTGAGAAAAAAATTTAATTAAAAGTTTGACAGATTTGTTTAGGCAGAAGGTAAATATTGTTACATCCCACGTCTAAAACAGCTTCAACACAACCTCAGGCTAAGTTTAAATGTCACATAAAGTCAATATGATCCATATATAATGTTAAAAAAATTCATAACTCGCAAATTATCGTTTTTTTTTTACTTAATTACTCTCAGAAAACTTCTTATGTTTACTATTTTTATATAAAAAGTTCATTAACTTGCAACTCAAATTTATCGAGAAAATATGTAAAAGCATCATAACTCTTAAAATATTCAAAATTCCATAGTTTTCTACACGTCAATCAACTTACCGGAACATTTTAAATATGCATAGTTCAAAACATTCAAACTTTGGTCCTTAGTTTCTAACTAAACTTAATAAAACTTAATAAAATACAAATTTTACTTGATATTTTACGATAAAAAACTCATGCTTTTATGTTTATGCTCTGTTTTTGCTTTTTTATTTTTGTGTTTTTTAGATTCCTTCAAGTGCATCTCAATCAGTTTTGAAGTTTTAAACCTTTAGATTTTTGACAAAACTATGGAATTATTAGCATTAACTCTTTATGTTTAGTACCGTTGAAAAGCACATTTAATTTTCTATCCTATGAAAAAAAGGTGATTGTTCTACGATCAATAGTTATTGAAAAAATTGCTGATAAGGTAAAACATACATAAAATATAATTATGACTATAACTCCTAAACAACAGCAAATTTTGCATGTAACACTTGAAATTTTCCAAAGATTTAACAAAATATAGGTATATAAAAAATAAAAATTTGAAATTCCCAATGAGGGAAACAAATCTAAATTTAAAAATATTTTCCTTATTTTGTAAATAAATTCTAAAACGAATTATTTTTATTGCAAAATGAATTAAATTGCGTTCATTTGTACAAATTGTCTAAACATTGTTAATTTGTTGGTAACAGTAATTTTATTGCCAACTAAGAACACTTTTCAATGCAAAAGATTGGGATTTTGTTACTAAACGGGAAAAAGGTATGAATTTTTCAAAGCCAATTGAGGAAACAAATTTAAGTTTATCATTTTTTTTTTAATTTCGAGAAAAAAATTGACGAAATAGTCTCTTATCAAACGTTAATTTTTCGTAGCTAATTGGGAAAGTCAATTTAAATTGCGTCTTTTTCAAAGCAAATTCGAATAGAATTAAAACAGTTTTTTATAGCCAATCAGTGAGGTTTTTGCAAAATCTTGAATTTGATTGGTTGGACACTTTCCTTAATTTATTACAAGGGCCAATAATAATCATTTCGCATTCACGTCATTACCACTGTCGTGAGGACAAACCGGTTTTTCTTTCTTATTGGCCAAAATCCGACAAAAACCTAGCAACGATAAGTAACTCCACCCATTTAAAAAATCGTGAATAATTATTGAATTCTGAATCGAATTTTTACAACAAATCAGCGTTTAGTGTAAGTTATCTTTCTTTAATTGGATCTAATTTTGCAAAATGGGTGGAGCGAACCACAGAGCCAATATAAATCATGCAAGGTTCGATTATTAGACCAATAAAAAGTAATAGATTATTCAATGCGTTAAAGTTGAAAAAATATATAATTACGACTATAATTTCTAAACTATAGCGAATTTTGCATTTAACAAATAAAATTTTCACAAAATTTAAGAAAATAAATATGAAAAGTAAAGATTTGAAATTGCAAAATTGGTTTTTTCAAAGTCAATGAGGGAAACAAATTCAAATTTAAACATATTGTTCTTATTTTTTATCACTAAAACGATTTATTGCTGTTACAAAGTGAAGAATTAAATTAAACTCATCATTTGTGCGTTTATTTGTACAAATTTTCTAAATATTGTTAATTTGTTGGTAAAAGTAATTGTTTATTGCCCACCACAATGCAAAAAGTATGCAATTTTGTTACTAGACGGAAAAAAAGATATGAATTTTTCAAAGCCAATTGAGGAAACAAATTTAAATTTATGTATCATTTTTAAGTTTTCTTTTTTTGGAATTTTGAGAAAAAAATTGACGAAATAGTCAATTTTTCGTGGCTAATTTGGAAAATCAATTTAAATTGTGTTATTTTCAAAGCAAATTCGAATAAAATTAAAACAGTTTTTTTTTATAGCCAATCAGTGAGGTTTTTGCAAAATCTTGAATTTGATTGGTTGGACACTTTTCTTAATTTATTACAAGGGCCAATAATAATCATTTCGCATTCACGTCATTACCACTGTCGTGAGGACAAACCGGTTTTTCTTTCTTATTGGCCAAAATCCGACCAAAACCTAGCAACGATAAGTAACTCCACCCATTAAAAAAATCCTGGATAATTATTGAATTCTGAATCGAAGTTTTACAACAAATCAGCGTTTAGTGTGAGTTATCTTACTTTAATTGGATCTAATTTTGCACAATGGGTGGAGCCAACCCCAGAGCCAATATAAATCATGCACTTTCGATTATTAGACCAATAAAAAGTAAAAAATTATTCAATGCATTAAAGTTGAGTGTCATTGGTCGATCCTTAGCCAATCAATTGCGACTTTTAAAATCAACCAATCAGAACAAGTCTTAGATTTTTCGACAAGAAAAAGTAAAACAATTAAAATCTTTGTTTCTTTGAAAAATAATTATTTGAAGAATAAATCTTAATTATTTTTTTTTACTGTCAAAATTTGACATTCTCGATTGTTGTCCATTTTCAATAATGTTATAATAAATAGTTATCGAAAAAAATAAATAAAAAAAGTAAACTTGTTGATGGAAATTGTGAGAATGATTAAATTTTAAATGAGTTTTTCTTAGAAACCATAGACTTGAGTGCAAAAAATTAATTAAACCGTGATTTCCATCGACTTTCAAGCCTCGTTGAAGTTAATTAGTAGCGCTTCCGGTTATGTGGGATCAGGATTTGAACCGGAAATAACAACACACTAGATTACAAGCAAACTTTGCGACTCATGCTTGTACAAATATTGTATTTGGTTTATTAGTTGTTATGACTTGTGTTATTTTTCAGGCAAATATGATATTTTCGGGGAAAACCCGTGTTTACATCCCACATTGGGAAAATCGAGCTGTAACGTTCGGGCTTTGACGTACTGTGATTTACATAAGATACATAGAGATGATCTCCTAGACGTGCTAGAACTCTACCCGGAGTTTTATAACCAATTTATGAATAACTTAGAAATTACGTTTAATTTAAGGGATGTAAGTATCAAAAATTACGCGTTTTTCCCCCTACTAAAATGTGATTTAGGAGGAGCAAGCCGGTGTCATCCCTCGTCGCTCTTTCTACCCCAAAAATCACCCCAAAGAAAGTCGTTTTTTCCGCGGAGTTAACTCAAATGGCGTTTCAAGTCGGGGAAACTCAATGACCGGACGACAAGACTCCCAATACAGCGACGAGTCCGAATCAGGTAAAAAAAAAAACTAGAAAAAAAAAGTATGCAACTCGGGTGTTTTCCAGGACATGGAATTCTAGAATTCACCACTGAAAAAGCCGGTCAAGATGTGACACCAATTAATTTGGATTTCGGCGAAGAGAAGAAAAGATCGTCCACTTTAAACTCAATTACAGGTAATTAATTTCCATTAATTAAACTAATTAATAAATTAATCCGAAAATTAAATTGGTTCTTTTGACAGTTTTGATGTGCTCTCCCCTTTTTGCTCGTTATTTCGGAACGAACCTTGTATTAATTTTTATTTTATTTTATTAATGACACAGTTTAAACGATTTCATAGCCAACTGTGTCAGTAATAAAAGGAATTTTATTGCATATTGACCGTGTTTAGGCATGCTATCACAGCTCAAAAGAAGTATACCCGATCTAAGGTTACACAAAACGCATCAACCGCTCATAGGTAAGATATCTGTTTATGAAATACACTCTACACTGTTTTATACCGGGTGTAATTGAAATACGACATTGAAACGTTGCTTTGAAGCTTTGAATTTAATTGAAAAGTGAATAGGCGGATGTGAAATCCGCTTATTTGCTTAAATGAGGGATTATTTCAACAAAAACGAAAAAACACGGATTACCTACAGTGTTTTTTTTCTGCGTGTACAATGTGCAAAAAACGTATTAAATTAATGTAATGTAATAATCTAATTCAGTTTCATGAAGTTTTAAGAATTTTTTCAAACTTGGAAGGTCTGAGTCATTGCCGACCCATAAAAGTTTGTCGCATCAAAACTAGATATAATAACTTTTTGTCTTGTTTATCTTAGGTTTTCAATCTTTGTCACAATTTGGCAATTGACAATTATTTTGATATTTTTTTCTCAATTTTAGTAAATAAACGAGAAAAAAACGGATTACAATTTTTGCTTCACAATGTTCAAAAAACGTATTAAATTAATGTGATTTAAAATTGCTACTGAAAAAGTTTAGTTTCGCAGAATTTAAAAAAAATGACTCGGAGAGCAATAAAATAAAGTTTCAGTGTTGTTTAACTTAAATTTTTAGGTTTTTGTCACGATTTGGTAATCAACAAAAATTATTTAGATACTTTTTTCCTCAAATTCTAGAAAAACGGGAGACTTGGAAAGGAAATTTCCGGTTACTTTAACAAAAACGAGAAAACCACGGATTTCATTTTTTTCTGTTAGTACAATGTATAAAAAACGTATAAAATTAATGTAATGTAACAGTGTAATTAAAAAAATCAGTTTTATGAAGTTTTAAGAATTTTTTCAAAGTTGGAAGGACTGAGTCATTGCCGACCCATAAAAATTCGTTGTGTCAAATGTAGATATAACTTCGATATGAATTAGCTTTTTAAGTTTTTATCACGATTTGGCAATTGGATCGAATTATCTTGATACTTTTTTTTACAAATTCTAGTAAAATGAGAGAATTGGAGGGTAAGTTTCGGAACGACTAAATCATTGCCGACTCATAAAAATTTGTCCTGTTAAAACTTGATGTAATGAAATTAAGATTTAGTGTTGTTTAACTTAGATTTTTAGGTTCTTGTCGCAATTTAGTGATCAACAAAAATTATTTTGATACGTTTTTATTCTCCAAATTTTAGTAAAAGGAAGAATCGGATTACTTTTTTCTGTTAGTACAATGTACAATAAATGTATAAAATTAATGTGACGTAATAATGTAATTAAAAAAATAGTTTTATAGAGTTTTAAGAATTTTTTCAAAGGCGGAAAAACTGAGTCATTGCCGACCCTTAAAAATTCGTCACATCAAAACTAGATATAATGAGTTTTAGTGTTGTTTGACTTAGATTTTTAAGTTTTTATCACAATTTGGCAATTGATCAGAATTATTTTGACACTTTTTTCACGAGAGAATCGGAGAAGTATCGGATTTTTTTAACAAAAACGAGAAAACACAAATTACAATTTTTTTTCTGTAAGTGCAATGTATAAAAAATGCACTAAATTTTGAAATGTAATAATGTAATAGAAAAAATTCAGTTTCATAAAGTTTTAAAAATTTTTTCAAGAAATTTGTCGCATCAAAACTACATATAATAAGTTTTAGTCTTAGATTTTTAGATTTTAATCATGATTTGGCTATTGACAAAAATATTTTGATATTTTTTTTTCCAAATTAAAGTAAAACAAGAGCAAGTATTGGATTATTTTAACAAAAATGAGAAAAAACACAAATTACATTTTTTTTCTCTTACTACAATATACACAAAACGTCTTATATTAATGTGATGTAATAACGTAACTAGTTGTTATTGAAAAAGTTCAGTTTCACAAAGTTTTAAAAATTTGTGTAGTCGCAAAGACTAAAACGTTGCTGACCCATAATTGGCAAGAAATATTTTGATACTTTTTTGTTCAAATTCTAGTAAAACGAGAAAATCGGAAGGCAAGTATCGGATTTTTTTAACAAAAACAAGGAAACACAAATTACATTTTTTTCTGTTAGAACAATGTATAAAAACGTATAAAATTATTGAGATGTAATAATGTAATTGAAAAAATTCAGTTTCATAAAGTTTTAAAGTCGAAAAGACTGAGTCATTCCCGACCCATAAAGGTTTGTCGCATCAAAACTAGATATAATAAGTTTTTGTCGTAGATTTTTAGATTTTGGTCACGATTTAGCAATTGATAGTAATTATTTTGCTACGTTTTTTTCCCAAATTTTAGTAAAACGGGAGTAAGTATTAAATCATTTTAATAATGTAATTAATTGTTATTGAAAAAGTTTAGTTTCACAAAATTTTAAGAATTTTTTTATTCAAAAAGTCTGAGACATTGCCGACTCATAGAAATTAGTCGCATCAAAACTAGATATAATCAGTTTTAGTGTTGTTTATCTTAGATTTTTAGATCTGTCACAATTTGGCAATTGATAAAAATGATATTTTGTTACTTTTTCCCCAAATTCTAGTAAAACAGAAGAATCGGATGGCAAGTATCTTAAAATTGTGTCTGAAATTTCAAAATTTTAGGTTACAATTTAGACCAAATAGTTATTAGTTAGACCAGTTGGCGTAGTAAACGTATTTCAAGTGCATTCGGTACTCTTTTGTTTCTCCCAACCCACTCGATTCATTTAGTGTAAATTTCCTCATCGTTGCTCTCGCACCTCTCTCTTCTATATATGTATGTATTTCGCCTTGGTTGCATGCGCATGTTGCCCCCTTTGGTGCCCCCATGTAACCTTTCATGTCTTGCAGCCCAATCGACGCCCCCTTCCAGCCACCGTATCCGCACCATCCGTCGCCAATCCTCCGTGGGGACCTATCAGGACTCCGCCCAGCAACAGCCCCCGCCCCAGGTGCCCATCTCTAGCAGCACCAGTTATTACACCAACAGCCCCTCTTCGCCCCACCATGAAGCCCCCCAACATTCCACACCAAGCCCACTCGAAAACATCCATTCGAAATTGGATCAGTTGACGAGGAGGATCCAACAGCTGGAGGAGAGTCTCGCGGGGGATGTTAAGACTATTCTGGGGCTGTTGCAAAGGGGGCACGAAGTGCCCGAGTATGAAAATCTAGATCCTAGTAGAATTAGGTACACGTTTCAAAGGTCGGTGAGTGAACCTAAACCGATCTCGAAATGTCAACAGCATTCCCAAGTACTACATAGGTGAGGCACATAGTCAACAAGAGTTGCATACTAATTTTTCTCCAGGTTTGCTTCGTTTAATAAAGCTTTTGATTTTGATAAGTTTCAAGACCCATCATGGACTGATGTGTTTGTAAGCAAGGAGAAAGATAGTAAAGAAGACAAGACAGCCCCAATCGCCAAATTAGAGTCACTCGACGAGCTTGATTTGGTAAAAAAACACAAATTACGGGTTTTTGTTCAATTATTGTTCCAGGAATCGCCATTGGGGAGTCCGAAAAAACCCAAAAAGTAGCACTTTTGTTGTTGAAACCAGTGAGATTTGTAATAATTAAGACCCGAATTTGGAAAATTCGACATTTTAGTGAAATAATAGATACTTTCAGCTTACAATTGAGAAATTTCCATTTTCGTGCTCGACTGGCGCTGCGTCCAGGACTTATCACTTTAAAAACTTGTGTTACATATCGTTTTTTGCTCTTGTAGGTGCATATCTTGCCTCGGCAATTGCCTTATTTCTCGTAGCAATTCATTTAGCAATAAGTTGCGTCCGTTTGTCGCAGTGCCAGTCCTCGAGCTAAATATCCGTCGCAAAATCTACGATAAGGTTGATCTTTTTGTAAAAAAGGTGGTTAAATGAAAGACAATTTCAAATATTTCCCTAATTGTTTGTTGAAATTATTTGTTACGCTTGTTTTTCGCATCAAATCGCTTTTATGAAATTTTGTAAGCACAAATTATATGTTTATACACAATTTTATCATATTTTTAATAATATTATGTAAGACAAAATCATTACTCGTCACATGCCCCTGAATAAAGGCATTCGAAGTAAAGTGGTTTTCTGTATTTCCGGTTCGCCTCCCGGCTAACTTTCCTTCCATTCCTCTCATTACACTTAGTTGACATTTAAAAGCGCCATCTTGTAATTCAAAGTGTTACTTTAGCAAACCGTAAAATTTAAGGTTATATAAGTAAGTTACATATAAAATAGCCCCAAAATTCTCAAATTTTTATCTATTTACTTACATAAGGCATTTCACGCTCTTTTAAGGCCACCAATTTTACATAATTATCATTGATAAAAATTTTACAAAATGTGATTTTTGTTTTCAAGGGTTTGCATCACGGCTAAGTTTTTTTATGATTATAAATTTATAAACTTTTATTATAATATACTACTTTGCTCCGTTTCGACAAAAATAAAAAACACTTTGCTTGCTGCACTGTTATTAATTAACAATAATTAATTACAATTACTACAAAAAAAGACAATTGCCAATTGGGGTTTTATTTCTAAAAATAACACATCCTAAACTAAATAAAGCAAATTTTCTTGTTAGTTTAGAAAAAAATCTCTGTTTTTGCGAGTTTTTTGCTTGAAAACACTTTTTGAATTTTGCAATTTTTGGCTTAGTTTAACTAAAGTTTTCTAGATTTTATGAGTAAAGTTAGCGAACTTGAAATTACTTTTTATAGAAAACATTTTATTTTAGACCTACAAATTTACTAATTTTAGAGGGGAACTTCATCAGAGGCGGCAGTGTATTTTTATATTTTATGGTTAAGGAGAGAATTTTTTTTTTTTTAATGAACCAAAAATACGCAAAATCGGGCCACGAACGGGTCTAGAAAAGGAAATAATTTCCTGAAAATTTTGGCTAAATCGGATTAAAATTGAGAGGTGCCAAAAAAAAGGGAAAAATTCCAATCGTAGTAGAAATTTTTTCTGAAATTTTAACACAATGGCAATTACGGGTTCATAATCTACTAAAAAAAGACTTTCAATTCCCTCTAAAACCAGAGTATTCGGTTTTTTATTTTTTGGAATATTATAACTCAATTTTTTTACACTTCCTCGTTTTGTCAGTTGTTTACTGTAAAATTTTAATTGTTTAATAATTCATTTAACAGTTTTTTATTGCCTGAAATTAAATAATAACGTTTGTACAGGTAGGCAACACAAAATGCAAGATTAACTTTTATTAGATGCAAAATAAATTTTAAAATTTAATAGAATTAAAATAGAAAATTGTTTAGTGTTTTTTCAGATGAAATGTCCTTGAATTTTATTTTTCCGAAAGTTTATAACTCGATTTCTAAATTTACTATGACGTGTACAATTGGTTGCCTACCTAAGAAAACATGTTTTGGTTGTTAAATAAAGAATTAAAAAAGAAATTGACTAAAATTGTAAAAAAAAACAAAAATAACACAGTTGCAGTTGTGATTTTGCAATTTTTGCTTTTGTTTTTATAAATTTTTTAAAATTTATTAATAAAAAATGCTCTTTTTTACAATTTTCTTCTTTTGATTTTTTTTTAAATTACCACTCAATTTTCAGGTGAAATATGCTCTAATATTTTATTGAAATAAGCAATAAAAGATATTTCAAACTAAATTTATCGATTTTTCAGAATTGACTTAATTTTGTTTTATTTTGACAAAAATCCTATTTTGTAAATTTTTCTCTGAAAATCGCTTTTTAAACCTAATTTTGCTTTGTTTTATTTTTAATGTAGTTTTCAGCAAAAAAAATTTCGAATTTACAGAAGAAAATAATAAAAATAATGCATTTCCATTTATGATCTTGTAATTTTTTTTATATATCTTTTTTTTAATTTAGGTAGTAAATTTCTCACTAAAAAATGCTCTGATTAATCAAAAAACACATTGCAAATTTAAATTATAAATTTTTCAGCAATGTTTATGCTAAATCTATCAAATTTTATAATTTATTACTGAAAAACGTTCTAAATCTTTTAAATTTAGCACAAAAAAGAGTTTTAAACTTAAATTAGTTTTGTTATTAAAAAATAAATTAAATTGTGTAAATTTTTCCTAAAAATCGCTATAAATCATATTTTAGACCAAAATTTGCTTTGTTTTGAAAAATTCTATATAATATTGTAATTGTTCAGCAAAAAGAACACTTCAGATTTATTGAAAAAAGCACAAATAACGCATTTTCAGTTATGGTTTTTACAATTCCCTCTTTGTTTTGCTAATTTTTTTTGGATTTACCAAGTTTTTTTGTGAAAAACGTTTTAAGAAGACAAAAACCGTATTTCAAAACTAATTTACAAATTTTTTAACATTGTTTTTGTAAAATGTATAAAATTTGAGTAATTATTCCCTGAAAAACGCTCTTAATTTCCCAGAGAGCAATTTGTTACAGACTCATTTGGCGATTTTTAACTTATTGTTTTAAAAAAAATTCTTAAACTTTTTTGAGTTGTTCAATAAAAAACGATCTAATTTATAAAATAAGCAAAAATATTGCATTTTATCGTTGATTTTATTAAAAATTGTGACTTAATTGAATGATTTTTTGCTTTGTTTTTGTAAAATATTTATTTTTTGATAAGAAAATGCTTTAAATTGATCTAAAAAGCGAAAATAATGCATTTAATTTAGGAAAATGTTTGCTTTTTTGGTAAAATTGTATGCGTTTATTGACTTTTTAATGTAAAACATTCTAAATCTATCAAAATAAAACATTTAACAATTTTTTTCTGTATTTTAACCAAAATAAACAAAAATAACCCAACATTATGATTATTAGAATTTTTTCGAATTTATTTACGAAGAATAAATATTTGCCCACACTTTTAATTCCACAAATGGCGTAAAACTCCACTAATTCACTCAGTTTTAATCAAATAATCGTCGAAATGAGTGAGCAGTTGCTAGAACTGGTCTTAAACACACTGAAAATTGTCGGAATTGGGCCCAAAAGTCGCAAAATCTACTCATTTGTGTTCCTCACAATCTTGACCATTTTGGTCATTTTCGCAAGCATCGATCGGCCCTACCTCAAATCGTACACTCACATCAAGGTTGTCGTGAGTGTTTTAATGGATTTCATAGCTTATTTTTTCAATTTTTACACGATTTTGTTTCATCGAGAAACTGATTTTTTCAAAATGTTTTCAAATGAGCCAAAGTTCGAATTTCGACATTATTGTGTTTTTCTAATTGTGAATGTGGTTTTTTGGGTGATTGTCCTCATGTCGAATTACGCTTTCACGCGAATTATCATCCTGAAATCGATTGTGGAAATTGTGATAATTGACGTTGAAATTTACAGTCAATTTTTATTCGGATTTATGATTTTCCTAATTTTGGACATTATCAAGTCAAAATATCGGAAAATGAACCAAATTTTGCGAAATTACCGACAAATCACCTCCGATGAATTTGTTTTTCTTGTTACAAAAATTGAAAGTTTCAGTTTTCAGCTGAAAAATTCCGTTGACGAATTTAATGATATTTTTGGGGTTCCCCTACTTTTGATAATTTCTTATTCGACTCTCCATTTTGTCAATTACATTGACGATTTGTTTTTCTTCCGGTTTGAAAAGTCCAAATTTCAGTTTCTTATCTCAAACATATCACAAGTTTCGTTGATTTTCATCACTAATTATACTCTAATTATAATGTGTGATTGTGTGGGGAAAGAGGCTTCAAATTTGCTTAAAATCGCCCAAAAAGTGAAAACAAGTCAAGGGAATAAATTCGTTTTGGATTGTTTGGTTTTGAATTTTCCGAAATTTTCAGCGGGGGGATTTTTTCAGATCAAAAAATCGACTATTTTCAGCGTTTTAAACACTGTTAGCACGCTACTGATTGTTATGGTGCAATTTGATAAGGATAAGTGATTGGGATATGCTCGAAATCAGACCAATTTTTCTTCGTTTTGAAGTATTTCGAACTTAAATCTGTCGAAAGAAAATAAAACACAATTTAGACTTAATTTTGCTTTGTTTGTGGAAAAAAAACAAAAATAACGCATTTCCAGTTTTGATAATGCAATTTTCATCTTTGTTTTAGTAATTTTTTGTGAATTTAGTAAGTTTCTTGCTGAAAAATGCTCTGATTCTATTAAAATAAGCAAAAATTTTTTCAAGTTTAAATTACCAATTTTTGAACATTGGTTATGCAAAATCTCTCAATTTTTTTCCGTTTTTGCTAAAAAATAGTCTAAATTTATTAAATTTAGCAAAAAAATGACTTAATTTTGCTTCATTTTGAAAAAAAAAATATGTTCAAATTTTTAGCAAAAAACACTTCAAATTTATTAAAAATAGCACAAATAAAGCATATACAATTATGATTTTGCAATTTTCGTCTTTGTTTTTGTGATTTTTTGTAAATTTAGTAAGTTGCTCGCTGCAAAATGCTCTGATTCTATTAAAATAAGCAAAAAAAACGTATTTCAAACTTAATTTACCACTTAATTTACCACTTCAAATCTTACATTTTTTTTTTATTTTTAGCTAAAAAATATTCTAAATTTATTAAATTAAGCAAAAAAATTATATAATTTTGCTTTATTTTGAAAAAAT